TCTCTTAGACTACATCTCCCAGCAAGCTGCTAATCGAAAAGGGGGATTCTGGGAAAGGCTATTTAAAGAGCTGTATTCAGCAGGCTCTCTTCTCTCTGGGATCCATCATGTACTTCAGAGCTGCTGTTCTGCTACTGGGACTGCAGCTTACTAGGAACCTGTGAACCAATGCTGTTCCTGCAAACGTAAGCCTGTGCGGCATTAGGAGACCCTCTGTCCCCCCTGCAGGCGATCGGCGGACCAGACTGCTGTGTTCACATCTGACCAATCTACTGCATCCATCCTTCCTCTGGCTGGGGTAAAGACCTTGCATTGCTTCCTGTGTGTGCTGACTACCTTCAGGTTCTGGTGAATGGGCTCATGCCCAATCCCCTATTCTTCAGGAACACTCAGCACATGGACATTGCATGCAGACATCATAACCCAGATCACAAAGGAACTTGCCACTTTTGCTATACCCATTACTTGCTTGCTGACTACTTGAATCTTTCCACCTCTCTGCGGATATCCCTGTCAACATTACTTAGCTACAATGTGCCACAAAGACTGTGTTCAGGTGTTATTATTCATTACGGCTTGCTTTTGTGGGTGTCCAACCTGCACCCCTCCAGCTGTTGCGGAACTACAAGTCCCATCATGCCTCTTCTTTTGGGAGTCATGCTTGCAACTGTTAGCCTTGCAATGCCTCATGGGTCTTGTAGTTCTGCAATAGCTGGAGGGCCGCAGGTTGGACACCCATGTCTTAAGGTAACGAATTGCCGAGTATGTCGGTCAACCAGCCGTGGATGCTGTCCCAGGGTTTGGCTGACTGACACATTTGAATCCCACTGCTTTGCTTTGGTCAATACAGACATTTGTAGTGTTCAGCTTACATTGTGTCTGTGGTTCATTTAAAGGGGTACATATCATGTCAGAACCTAGAGTTTCAGAAGGGCTGGGAAGTTCCCAGGGTCAGGGCAGCACAAGAGGACAAGCAATATCCAGCTTCCCTTACAGGGGTAGTGCTGCACAGCTCTTGAGGGAGTCTATTCTATGTTTTCACAGCTGTTACTGTGTGGAAGCCTTTCTGTATTTGGAGATTAATCTTTTTTCCTGCAGATAAAGAGTGCCTCCTTGTCATCTGTGGTTGACCTTAAAGTGAATGACTCTACACCAAGTTCACTATATGGACCACTTATGTGTTTATACATGTTGTTCACGTAGCACTACCCCCTTGAAAGCCACTGGTTTTGCACCCCCCTTATTTCCTGCACAGCCAGCCAAGACACATTTTCCAGGCACAAAAAACAGTCCATGGTCTTGGTTTTTAGAATTTATTATGGAATTCAACTTGAATAAGGTAAAGGGGTTATGGGATGCCCAGCTTGAATGAGAATAACAAAAATGAGGACAGTTTCCTTCGCTAGAAAACTGCTAAAATGGCAGATATTTGACTGCTTCAAAGCTGGAACCACAACAGTCTTTTAGCAAAGTAATCCCCTTCTAGGAGTTTGGTGTCCACTGAGTGGATTTTCAGCCAAGTGACATCTTATAGGAGCTCCGAGTCTCCTTTGTGAACAAAATACCATCCCACCTAGCTATGGTATTCTGCCTGGGATTGGTCAGACTCCCATATATATGCAGATCAGCCCCTCCTCCACCTCCACCTGACTTTAGAAGCTTCTCCAAGCTTCTAGAGCAGGGGGAGGCACTAGAGGGCTGACCTGTAGAGCCCTATAGCTTTACCTGAAGTAACCCTCAGTCTAAACCCAGGCTTCTAGTAAACCTCTAACTACACTAAACAAACTATCTACACTAGAGGGTGCTATATTCATATCCCCCTCTAATCTCTTTTCAAGAGAAAATGCATTTAGTTCCTCTAATCTGTCCTCATAGCTGAGCTCTTCCATCCGTGCCTTTTATCAGTTTGGTTGCCCTTCTCTGCACTTTCTCCAGTTTCACAACATCCTTTTTGTGAACTGGTGCCCAAAACTGAACTGCATATTTTAGAAGAGGTATAACTAATGATTTAAATAAAAATCTAGAGATATAAATTATATAAATAGAAGAGCTCAGGAAAGAGCAGGGGCAACTGGGAAATAGCTCTCATTGTATGGAGAAGGGAATGTCCTGTTGTGGTTTGGAGGAGAGAGCTGAGGAATCTGGTTAGAGAGTGTTGCACCAGTAGCAGGACTATGATCCCCCAAGCATGGGGCGATCTGCTTTTTACCGCTGGACAGAGATAAAGACAGGGTCCTACTGACTGCTGTGGTCAAGTACTGCACTGATGCCTGCCGCTTGTACCATTAGGCGATCTGGAGCACAGAACCCAGGCTAGCTGATTGATGCCGTTGCCTCCCAAGGTCCAATTAAAGTCGGCTGCTGCATTGAAGAATCCATCATTCATCTGATCACTGCAGGAAGCCACCTTGGAATATCATCTTAAAGCGGACATTCCTCCATGAAAGAAAGCCTGCTTCTACAGATACAGTGGAGCTGGTGAGTGGGTCATTGACCCATCAGTGATCCATTGTTTGACCTGTGCTTATTCACCTGGAGAGCTTTATTGTTCTTTACCTTACTGACATCTCTTACCTGCTTAATACTGATCACTGTTAGTCCTGCTGGCCAGAGTATACATCTCTCATCATTTCTCAGAGTCCTAATTCTTGTCTGGCCCCTCCCATATCATTATTCCAATAAAGCTCCTTGTTTACTAATACTGGTACTGACATTTTTGCAGAGATATCCCTCCCTGCAACAAGCATGCCAACTGTTTTCAAGGGCCTCAGCATAGCCAGCAGAAGACCAGACTTATAGTAAGTTTACCTACCATTGATTACAGTACTCATTGCCTTATCAATTCTATTTGCAAAGGCCTAGGCTTAGCATCCTCATTGTAAGAGCTCAAAGGCAACTTAGCCCTGATCTGTGTTTGGTACCAAGCTCATTGTTGTTGTGTACTGCTCATTAGTGAAGAGAGCTACAGTTTATGCTGGTCAATTCTGAAATCATACATAAAGTACATACATAAATTACATAAAGTGTATTTTGTACTTTGTCGTACTATACATTGTAGCTCTCATCATTCGTTCATCTGAGCACTATCTGGCAATATACTCAGTTGTTTGTTGCAAGGAATGAGTCTTATTTCAAGGTAACCTTAAAAAGGCTCTTCAGTGTCCTCCCAAAATATTGAAAGTTAGCAGCTACAAATACTGTAACTGCTGACTTTTAATGTAAAGACACTTACCTGTCCAGGGATCCATCGCTGTCCTCAACCAAGCCAGTTCTTCACCGGTCTTCGGGTCCCTTATGCCAGAATGTTTACTAATGAAAGCCAACTGTTTGTCCTAGTGGCTTCACGGCCGGTTTCCTACTACTCATGCATGAGTCATGCTGTACTTTGTGGATGGTCACACAGCTTTCTGGAACCTGTGACGTGTCCTAGAAAGCTGCAAGCAAAGGGGGGGAGCTAAACTAGGTGATCCAAACCAAAGTGGGAGTGGGTAACTGTCAAAACTGGGTAGTCAAAAAATAAGTTGTTGAAAGCCAGAATGAAACTCCAAGGAGGGCCTCAGTGAAGGAGCTAACAAGAACCCGCAACCTGTTGAGAAATCCAAGATAAAAGAGACCCAGATGCTGGAGTTGAGAACAGAGAAATTAGTCCCTGTCTACCCTTCTGAAAAACAATTTAATCCATACAATCCACCCCTAATGTCAGGGCTCCCGGGTGTGACCAGAGGTGTGTGACTGACGCAGGGAAACGCAGACTTCAGATATGTTATAAACAATATAATTTATTAACACTAACAATACAAACATAAACGCAGTGCAATACTAAAACATAACACAGTGCAAACAAACCAAACCAAACCACCCACAGATAACAGTACATACAATGCAAGCGTCGTCAGGCAGGCAGCCGGGTCAATATCAATCGGGCAGGTAGGTACAGGGGGAGCAAGCGGAGAATGGTCGGGGTCACAAGCCAGGTTCAGCAGGTAGCGGGCAGCGTGGTACAGGGGGTCAGGCAGAGGAGAATGGTCAGACAAGCCAGGGATCAGGAGCAGGAGAATGGTCAGACAAGCCAGGGATCAGAGCAGGGTCAGCAGAGAATCAGACAGGAACAGGAACAGGAAACAGGGCCCAGGAGAAACACAACACCAAGGCAGAGTATGCAGGTCTGAATGTCCCTTAAATACACCAGTATAATTAGTTCCAGGTGTTTGACTGGCTGCAAGGTTGAGTCTCTGATTGCTGGGAGCACCCGCTGGCCAGCCCTGGTACTGCAGCTCATGAGGCAGGTGAGTCCCACTATTGCTGGCCAGTCCATTCCTGACAGTAACCCCCCCCCTCAAGGAGCGGCCTCAGGACGCTCCAAACAGTCCTAGCTGGACAAAATGTTCCACCGCCCGGGTCTGGTAACTGGCGGGATATCAAAGACTGGCACACCGGGCAGGACTCCGGGCAGCGGCACACCGGGCAGGGGCACACCGGGCAGAGGCACACCGGGCAGAGGCACACCGGCAGGGCACACCGGGCAGAGGCACATCGGGGACTCAGGCAGGCACACATCGGGCTGGACTCCGGGCAGAGGCACATCGGGCTGGACTCGGGCAGAGGCACATCGGGCTGGACTCCGGCAGAGGCACTCCGGCAGAGGCACATCGGGCAGCGGACTCCGGGCAGAGGCACATCGGGCTGGACTCCGGGCAGAGGCACATCGGGCTGGACTCCGGGCAGAGGCACATCGGGCTGGACTCCGGGCAGAGGCACATCGGGCTGATTACCAGGGCAGAGGCACATCGGCCCCCAGGACTCGGGCCCCCCAGGCGGGGCGACAGGCCGGGCAGAGGCACTCGGGCACGGCACCCGGGCGAGGCATCGGGGCCCCCAGGCGGGGCGACAGGCATCGGGCTGGACAGGCATCGGGCCCCCAAGCGGAGCATCAGGGCGCCGGACCCCCAGGGGCAGAGGCCCCCAGGCACAGGCAACGATTACCAGGAAGCGACAGGCATCGGGCCCCCAGGCGGGGCGACAGGCATCGGGCCCCCAGGCGGGGCGACAGGCATCGGGCCCCCAAGCGGGGCGGCGGGGCCGGGCCCCCAGGAGGGGCGACAGGCATCGGGCCCCCAGGCGGGGCGACAGGCATCGGGCCCCCAGGCGGGGCGACAGGCATCAGGCCCCCAGGCGGAGCGACAGGTCTCAGGCCCCCAGGCGGGCGACAGGTCTCAGGCCCCCAGGCGGAGCGGCGGGCGCCGGACCCCCAGGGAGGAGGGCGACAGGCTCGACAGGGGCCCCCAGGCGGAGCGGCGGGCACCGAGTCACCATGCACGACGGGGCTCCGGCGGAGTCAACAGGCAAGACTGCGGGCACCGAGTCAACTGGCAAGACTGCGGGCACCGAGGCAGGCGGCGACAGGCAGCGGGCTCCTTCGAGTCGTCTGGCAAGACTGCGGAGCACCGAGTCGTCTGGCAAGACTGCGGGTACCGAGTCGTCTGGCAGGACTGGGGCAGGCATCGAGTCGTCCAGGCAAGACTGGGCGGGCACCCTCCAGTCCACAGGCAAGGCCCCCAGGCGGGGCGACCGGCGTCTGGCCCCCAGACTGCGGAGCACGAGTCAACAGGCGGAACCAGCGGGCACAGGTCGTCTGGCCCCCAGGCGGGCACCGAGTCGTCTGGCAGGCGAGCTGCGGGCACCGAGTCACCTGCCAACAGCGGGCATCGAGTCTCGGGCCCCCAGGCGGAAGCGGCGGGCACCGAGTCGTCTGGCGGAAGCGCGGGCACCGAGTCGTCTGGCAAGACTGCGGGCACAGAGTCGTCTGGCAAGACTGCGGGCACCGAGTCGTCTGGCAAGGACTGCGGGCACCGAGTCGTCTGGCAAGACTGCGGGCACGAGTCGTCTGGCAAGACTGCGGGCACCGAATCACCAGCACGACAGTGGGCTCTGACTCAATTGGCACGAACAGCGGGCACCGGGTCATCAGGTACCGGGATTGAGCTGGCTCGACAGCGGGCAAGACTGGGTCACCAGGGCATCAGGTCATTTAGCTCGCCAGCGGGCACCGCGTCATCTGGCAAGGCAGTGGGCACCGAGTCACCAGGCACGACAGCGGGCTCTGAGTCAACTGTCATGACAGCGGGCACCGGGTCATCAGGTACCGGATTGTCTTGCTCGACAGCGGGCATTGGGTCACCAGGTATGACAGCGGGCACTGGGTCACCAGGCATCAGGTCATTTGGGCTCGCCAGCGGGCACCGTGTCATCTGGCAAGGCAGTGGGCACCGAGTCACCAGGTACGACAGCGGGCTCTGAGTCAATTGGCACGACAGCGGGCACCGGATCAGGTACCGGATCATCTGGATCAACAGCGGGCATCGAGTCAACTGGCCTAATAGGATCGTCAGGCTGGATCAGTTCATCATGCTGGGTAGAGGCATCAGGCTGAATGCAGGCTTCAGGCTGAGTAGAGGCTTCAGGCTGAGTAGAGGCTTCAGGCTGAGTAGAGGCTTCAGGCTGAGTAGAGGCTTCAGGCTGAGTAGAGGCATCAGGCCGAGTAGAGGCTTCAGGCCGAGTAGAGGCGTCAGGCGAGTAGAGGCGTCAGGCTGAGTAGAGGCATCAGGCTGCGTACAGGCATCAGGCTGAGTAGAGGATTCAGGCGGAGTAGAGGCTTCAGGCTGAACCACGGAAGGCAGGTTCACCGGTTTGGATACTGGCAGGATAGTATTGGTTGGAAAGAATTTTCGCTTTTTTTCTGGTTTTAACTACTGGAGCACTGCAAGTAAACGCAGGTCTGCAAACGAATGGAGCAGCTGGAGACAGAGAAGAGCTGGAGGATGGAACATGAGAGGGAGCAGTTGCTACAGAGGGCTTTTTTACAGGGTTAAAGGCAGGATAGGTGCAGCGAGTGGGAACAGGGTACTGACATGCGGTAGATAGCAGGGCAGGAGGAGCTGTTGGGAATGCAGGAATAGAGTTTTGAGGAAATAGATTAGAAGCAGGACTGGGTTTTTGTAAGCTGACTGAGGCTGGGTGCAACAAATCTGACCATGTCTGCAGTATGGGTTGAACAAAGCTGAGTTTACACAAAGCCTGTCTGACCAAAGACTGCACTGCGTTTATACAATCTCTTAGTACCTGTGGTGAACATGCAGCATAATGCTCCAAGAAGCAATCCACATCATCCTCTAATAACCATACCAGGGACTCTACCTGGTCGGCACTAAATGGCGGCAAAAATTCATCCCTGCATTCGGGGGAACCAGATGAAACCAACTCCGCACAAATCTGAATCAATGGCTGCACCTCAGAGAATTCTGTGCCCTGATCTATTAGAACATGAGCGAGCCGTATACATTCCAGCAGTTCATCCCGGGGATACTCCTTCAGAGTTTGATAAGCATACCCTCTGTCATCAAACACTAGCAGATATAAATACACAACCTCATCAAGATCCATCCTTCCCATCAACAAACCAAGATGGCTTCCCTGTGCAGCCACTTCTGGTCAGGATTGGCCTTGGTGAAATGTCAGGGCTCCCGGGTGTGACCAGAGGTATGTGACTGACGCAGGGAAACGCAGACTTCAGATATGTTATAAACACATATAATTTATTAACACTAACAATACAAACATAAAACGCTGTACAATACTAAAACATAACACAGTGCAAACAAACCAAACCAAACCACCCACAGATAACAGTACATACAATGCAAGCGTCGTCAGGCAGGCCGGGTCAATATCAATCGGGCAGGTAGGTACAGGGGGAGCAAGCGGAGAATGGTCGGGTCACAAGCCAGGTTCAGCAGGTAGCGGGCAGCGTGGTACAGGGGGTCAGGCAGAGGAGAATGGTCAGACAAGCCAGGAATCAGGAGCAGGAGAATGGTCAGACAAGCCAGGGATCAGAGCAGGGTCAGCAGAGAATCAGACAGGAACAGGAACAGGAAACAGGGCCCAGGAGAAAAACACACACCAAGGCAGAGTCTGCAGGTCTGGCCATCCCTTAAATACACCAGTATAATCAGTTCCAGGTGTTTGACTGGCTGCAAGGTTGAGTCTCTGATTGCTGGGAGCACCCGCTGGCCAGCCCTGGTACTGCAGCTCATAAGGCAGGTGAGTCCCACTATTGCTGGCCAGTCCATTCCTGACACCTGGTGAACAGGCACGGGAGGCCAATGCACACTATTTATACACACATATTATAAAAAGAGACAAATACAAGGCACAAAGAATGTGTGGGTACGGACCACAGAGTCCACTCAGAATAAACTGCCTGAATTCCAATTCAAGTAGAAGGAATATACTGCAAAGCGCTGCTGGATACGGGGGCACAAGTGACACTGCGATATTGAGACTTCTTCAATTTGTTTCTGAAGCATATACGGCTCCAAATATGAGAGGAACTAGAGATCTGAAGGATTGGAACACAGAAGTTCCGTTATGATGGGTATGTCCTGATCAAGCTAACCTTCAGTTCATCAGTGGCCAGAAAGCCCAAGACCTTTGACACTTTGGTTGTCGTATGCCCCCTCTTTCCGAGTCAAAACAATTCTTTATTGACAGAAACGAATACTTACCTGGCGAGGAGGATACTCACCCCCATAGCCATGAAGAATGATGTGCCAGCAGAAAACATTCCCCATAGTTGTGTTACAGAGAGAGCAGAAAGCTCGACCCTGGAGAGAGAGTACTACAGCCTGGTGAAATTGCTTGCTTGAGGGCCACAGTCAAGCTAACCTGGGATCAACCTGGACCCTTTGTTGAAGCCATTTCTTGGGGAGAGGGCACTGGGGTTGAGGTGATTCTTGAAGTAATCTCCACCAAGGCCCTTCACCAAAACCATGGGAAGGTACCTATCATAGTTATATAGTCTGGCTGAAAAAAGACAAAACTCCATCCAGTTCAACCATTAAAAAAAAAAGTTATAATCCTACACCCACAGTTGATCCAGAGGAAGGCAAGAAAACCCAGCAAAGCATGATCCAATTTGCTCCTGCAGGGGAAAAAAAAATCCTTCCAGATCCTCCGAGAGGCAATCGGATGTTCCCTGGGACAACTTTACCTATAAATGTTAGAAACCAGTTATATTCTGTGTATCCCAGAAAGAATCCAGGCCTTTTTTTAAAACAATCCACTGAGCTTGCCAGAACCAACTTTTGAGGGAGTCTGTTCCACATTTTCACAGCTCTTACTGTGAAGAAACCTTTCCATGTTTGGAGATTACATTTCTTTTCCCCCAGATGTAAAGAGTGCCCCCGTCCTTTGTGATGACTTCAAGGTGAATAACTCTACACCGAGTTCACTATATGAACCACTGATGTATTTATACATTTGATCATATCCCCCCTTTATCTCCTCTTCTCAAGAGAGAATAAATTCAGTTCCTCTAATCTTTCCTCATTGCTGAGCTCCTCCATGCCTCTTATCAGTTTGGTTGACCTTCTCTGTACTTTCTCCAGTTCCCCAATGTTCTTTTTGTGAATTGGTGCCCAAAACTGAACTGCATATTCCAGATGAGATCTTACTAATGATTTGTACAGGGGTAATATGATATCTCTCTCACTGGAGTCTATACCTCTTTTAATACAAGAGAGGATTTTGCTCGCTTTAGAAACCATAGTTTGGCATTGCACAGCAATATTAAGCTTGTGATCTACCAGAACTCCCAGATCCTTCTCCACCATTGATTCCTCCAGTTGTACTCCCCCTAGTATGTATGATGCATCCATATTCTTAGCCCCCAAGTGCATAACCTTACATTTATCAGCATTAAACTTCATTTGCCACATAGTTGCCCAATTAAACAGTGCATTGAGGTCGGCTTGTAAGTTGAAGACATCCTGTAAGGACGTTATTCCACTGCACAGCTTGGTGTCATCTGCAAAGACTGGAATGGTATTTTTAACCTCAGACCCTATATAGTTTATCTTTTAGCCAGTTTTCTATCCATTTACATACGGATTTTTCCAAGCCTGTGGACTTTACCTTACACATTAGCCATGTGTTGGGAACTATGTCAAATGCTTTTGCAAAATCCAAGTATACCACCTCCACCCCTTTGTCCAAGGTTTTGCTCTCTTCCTCATAAAATGAAATCAGATTTGTTTGACAACTTCTGTCTTTCATGAATCCATGCTGTCTGTTGCTTAAATAATTTTTTTCCAGCAAGAACTTATCCATGTGGTCTTTTATTAAACTCTCCAGTATCTTCCCAACTATAGAAGTTAAACAGGTCTATAATTACTTGGTAAAGATTTTGACCCCTTTTTAAATATAGGAACTACATTGACCTTACTCTATGCCAGTCATTAAAGAGTTCCTAAAAATGAGAAACAATGGCTTTGAAATGACAGAGCTCAACTCATTAAGGACCTGTGGGTGTATGCCATCTGGTCCAGGTGCTTTATTCACCTTTATTCTGTCTAAATATTTTTGGATCATATCAATTGTGAGCCAATGTGGATCATCTGGGGCTGTGTCAATACCATGACTATTATGGTCAAGAGCTCCCACATGCTCCTTTGTATACACAGAGCTTAAGAAGGTATGCAATAAATTTGCTTTCTCTTTGTCCCCAGTCACCCACTCTAGATTATTTTGTAAAGGACCTACGTGCTCGGACCGAACCTTTTTACTATTAATATATTTGAAGAATTTTTGGGGGTTTATCCTGCTATCTTTTCCAATCTATAATTTGTTTTAAATTTTTTGCGGCCTTTATTTCCTTTTTGCATATTCTGTTATATGCTTTGTAATGTTTAAACGATGATAGCGTTCCTTCATTGTTATAGTTAATAAAAGCTTTTTTCTTATTATCTATAGCCTTTTTAACTTTGGCTTTAAGCCACATATGCTTGATTTTCGATGGGAATATATTTTGCAGTGTGTTCGCATACAGTCTATCAGTGTGAGAAAACAAAACCGAATCTCCAATTAGGCTGAAACCCCGAATGCTGCTCAGGCAGGTGAACACATCAATCCCAGTAGGCACAACCGGTCCCCCCTCTTCTCCCCCCCGCCTGGAGTCTGAGCCTAAGCTCAAGGAGGAGGTGATTGAAGAAGCTGGAAGTGAGCCCACACATTCACGAGAGCCAAAAGAAAAACCTTTCATTAGGCCCCCAAAAAGACTGATGTATGATGTGCTCGGTGAGAGCTCAGAAGAAGTTATTCTTTCAAGTCAGCAGACTCTTGGTGAGCTAATCCACTGCATGAGCCCACCCTATGACACCTCTGGATGAGTTATCCCTGAATCAGTAACTTGCAGACAGGATAACCTCACTCCCTCTAGCAACTGGTGGGAGGTTTCCACTATCAAATCTATACCATAATGTAAGTTGTCTAGGTGTTTGTTCCTGCTAACTAAGGTTTCCTGCTTTTTTTACATGCAGT